AATAAAAATAAAGTTTTAAAAAATTAGCTGGGCGTGGTGGCATGCACTTGTAGCCCCAGCTACTCAGGAAGCTGAGACAGGAGGATCACTTGAGCCCAGGAGTTTGAGGTTGCAGTGAGCTATTATGCCACTGCACTCTAGCCCAGGTGACAGAATAAGACCCTGTCTCAAAAAAAAAAAAAAGAAAAAAAGAGATCAAAAGAAGGAAACTCAGATCTGCTGTGGAAGATGAGGTAAGGCTTCCTGGCATTTGAACAACCACAGGCTTTGAGGTCAGACAGACCCCAGTTATACCGCAGTGCAGAGTGACTATAGTTGACAATGTATTGTGTATTTCAAAATAGCTAGAAGAGAGAACTTGAAATGTTCACCAACACATAGAAATGATAAATATTTGAAGTGATGGGTACCCTAAGTACCCTGACTTGATCAATACACATTCTGTGCACGTAACAAAATATCACATGTACTCCATAAATATGTACAAATACTATGTATCAATAAATTTTTTAAAAAAAGAAAGAAATTTTTCACCCTCCGCTTTATAGTCTGTGTGGCAGTAAGGTAGTTAACTTCTTTGCTTCTCAGTTTCTTTACCAGTAAAATGGAGATGATGATAATTGATATTTAAATGATAATGTAGTAAAGCATGGTACCCTGGGACATATACCCACAGTAAGTATTAGTTCCTTCCTCTGCCTGTCCTTTCAGAATGGCTGGTATCTCAGTCATCAGTGAGATCCAAATGAAAGGAACCCAGACTTTTCAGCTAGGCCTGAATTCATTCATTCATTCATTTAATTCGTAAAACTTGATTGAGAACTACTATGTGTAGATATTGGAGATGCCAGTGGTAAACTACTCAAGCTTCCTGCCCTCGTGGAGCTTACATTGTAGTGGAGGAGACAGATAGTAATGAATGATGGAGAAATAAAGTGCATTCAGGAAAAAACTGCCTACACCATCCTTTTATAAGTGAAATGCAAATCATCAGTAGCCACAGTGTATCCTGCAGTTGCCAGCCTGGGCTTCAGTAATACAAGGCCAAGTCAGATAGGATCTGCAGACACGTCTCTTGACTGTTCATTTCACTACAAGATCCTCATCAGGCACAAAGGGGCACCTGCAGAGGCCGGCCAGAGAGACCTGATGAATGGGGAAACCCTAGGTGCCTTGGGGGAAATTGCTTCACCTAAGGCTTGGACATTTTGCGTACCACTTCCTAAGCTGCTCTATGAAATGACGTCATGCAGCCCTCCTAGTATAATGACAGTGGCAGCCAGCAAGGACTATTCTCCTTGTGCTAGGCATTGCACGCACTTACAGGCATTGTCCCAACTGACTCAATAAATTCTCACTTCTGCAGTCCTTGAGGTAGCTACTAATATTAGGCTCTAAGAGAAGAGGTTGAATATTCATCCAAGGTCACCTAGTTAATAAGTGGTAGAGCCAGTATTGGAAGCCAGGTAGTCTAATCCAGTGTTTTCTCTATTTCAGTCACTAAATTCCGTTTTCTCATGTGTAAAATGAGGATTCTCATATCTACCTTAGGGAAGACTTGTGATGATTAAATGAGTTTATATGTAAACTCAATCTAGCGCTTGACGCATAAACTTTGATTCTTTTCTTTGTATTTCTTATCATCTACGTGTAATTTGACTTTTAAAAAAATATTTTAAATTGTAGAACCACAAAATGCACCTCAAAATGGTCAGAGTGGGTTTGGCAGTAGCCCTTGCTTTCCAGGAGGGGTGAGGGGAGGGCAGTGCTGGTGGCAGAAAGGTAAAGGCAGGGAGAGCGGAGAGGAAGGAGTTCAGCCTGAATGGGGGCCGGGGGCGGGGGCGGGGGAGGGGGTCTCCAGGGCCTGAACTCCACAGTGGCCTCATCGTCCAGAGGTTCATGCAAGCTTGGCCTTCCTACTGCCCTCAACCCTTTCTTCCTGTTTCCACAGGTTCACCCAGAATCTGTCCGTGTTCCGCAGAGAGGTGGCAGAGGCTCTGCGCAGTGATGACAACGCGGAACCTTGCAGTCTGGACATGATGAGCTGATAGTGCTGTGCCCAGCAGCCTTCAGCAAGAGAATCTTGAAGGTCTGGGTCCCAGGACAGTGATGCTGGCTTGCCCAGGGGAATGTATTTTTCAAAACAGACAAACAGCAGCAAAAGCCCTACCTTTTTATACATCTGGCCTAATTATAAGAATTTATAATAGTCACACATAATGTAAATTCAGTCTTTGCTCTGAAAAGGCAAAAGATGTTTTCAGTCTTTCTATTGAATATTATCTTTGTTTTCATAATGCTTCGAAAGGATGTAGAAACAATATTTAACCAAAGAACATAATAAACCATGTTTGCACCTACGTGTATGCTATTTAATGGTTCTTCAATTAAGGTTGTCAGTTTGTTGGAGATGCAGCCTTCAGCATGGATCCCGCATTGCGACAAATGCCAGTGGAACCTGTTACATTAGCAGTTCGTTATGCGTCTGTAAGAGGCCGCGTTAGGGACTTGGGGCCGTGGGCAGTTAGAAGGAGCCTGGGAGCCCTGCAGAGCATCCCACAGGACTGCACGCAGGCCTCTCCGCCTCAGCCGCATCTGATAAAGTTGAGAGACAGTAACACAATTAAATGACTTACAAACAACGTTTGCTTTTCACTGGCATAAATCTGAAGTGGTTCAGTCTAGAAGAATTAAGCTGTGCAATTACTGCCTGCAGAGATATTTCTCTGGAAGGAGTCATGTAGCTCCAGTAAGAAATTCTGGGTGGTGTCGGCACCCAGCCCTGCCTCCATTTAATTTTTAAGGGAAGCCAAATGTAACTAGTAAAATATGATATTTGAAGTAGCTCTGCCTTCTTGGTCCACCCAAAGCAGTTCTAACTGCTAAAGTTCAGATTTCCACAGAATAAGAAACGGCTGGTTTCCATTCCTCCACAAAAACTCTTATTACTGCTGGGATTGTGACTTAACCCAAACCCAGAACATGAAGGCCTTTATAGTTTGTGATATACTGTAACTAGGCTATTAATTTGAGATCGCCACTGTCAGGTGGTTTTTTTATCTCACCGCTCTGTTTTTATGGTTCAGGCTTATAATAAATATTGTGCCCTTTCTTTCTGATAAGACATGAAAGCTTGGCCTTACTGTTGAACAAGAAGTAAATCCACAGGCTCCTGTTATAATCTCATTTCTCAGACTAGTGTTTCTTGCAACCTTTCTTGATAGTTGAGTTTTACAACAGGCTTGTCATATAAAAGCAGAGTCACCCAACTTTATCTCAAAATGTTTGTCTTCCATGTGTGAAGGAAATTAGAGGAAAATGTGTCATAGATAGGATTACTTCTAGTATTTAATGGACAAATAAGCTTCAGCCTTATACCATATTTCATTCGAAATGGGAAATAAAATTTTCCTTGAAAAGGCAAATTCTGAATGCTATAAAACATCAGCTATTCTGAGAAGTTTAACAAAAATTTCTATTTCTTGGGGGCTTATAACTGCATACTCATCCCACAATGTGTTACAGAAGGCCTATCCCATTCTGCACTGTTTTCTTCATAAATTCTAGGACCTAAAAGCACCGTATCATTCGCATTAAAATTCTCACAAGACAATGACAATGTGCACTTGCTCCTCTTTGCCACACTGCCAGAGGTCGTCACCAGCCAAGAAAGGCTTCACCAGACTTGGCCTTCGAGAGCTGTTCTCAGAGGAACGCCGGCCAGGCCTGCGCCACTGCTGACTGCAGCAGGACCTGTCCGTGGTGCTGGCCTTGCAGAGCACGCTGGGGGCAGCATGCGGCTCTCATGCCTTTACATCCATTACCCCTTCGTCCTCACAACAGCCTTACAGAGGTAGACGGCATTAGTCCCACTTTGCAGATGAGAACACGAAGGCTCAAAGATGGTATGTAGTTTACGCAGGTCATACAGGCAGGATTTGAACCCTTATCTGTCTCACTTCAAAGAAATTCCTGGCCTCTTCCAAGGAAGACATTTTTCAGAATGGTGAGTTGAAACCTGTTATGTTTAGGTCAATTACCGTTTGTTTTTCAGAACTCTATTGTTAAATAACAAATTATCCCAAAACTTAGTGTCTTAAAGCAACATTTATTATCTCACAGTTCCTGTGGGTCAGGTATTCATAGCTGAGTCCTCTCTTCAGGGTCTCTCCCAGGCTGCAGCCGGGGTTATCAGTCAAGGCCGTGATCATCTCGAGGCTTGACTGGGGAAGGACGAGCATCCAGGCTCACTGCTGGCTGTCAGCAGGAGTCAGGTTCTCAGGGCTTGTTGCCTCAGTTTTGGGCCAAATGGGCCTCTCAACACTGAGCTCACAACGCTGACATCTTGTTTCATCAGAGAAGAGCCAAAGAGAGTACGGCAATCTGGCAGTCACAGGCTTTTATAACCTCATCTCGGAAGGGGCTCTTCTGCTGCATCCCCTCCATTAGAAGTAAACCACTAGGTCTGGCCCGCACATAAGGGGAGGGACTGCACAAAGACTGCGCTACCAGGAGGTCAGGGATCACTGGGAGCCATTTTCAAAGATGTCTGCCACAACTCTTTATCTGGCCTTTGCTAGAGAGGTTGAGTTTTGGCTACAAGTTTCTCCCTCAAAACCTGAAAAGGAATACTGATTTTCCTTTAGAGTGCTAAGTTCCATTCCGAGCCCTTCCTGAGGGAGGAAAAGGAAGTGCAGAAGCTGGGATGTTTAAGGATCACATATACTGCGCACTCCTACCATAATGGATGAGAACCTGATTTGGGACTGCGTCCCCCATCCCCAAGCTTGCCAGAGTCTGCCTTGGTAAGGGACAGTGGGGACTCTTGGGGAGAGACCTGGAACGCCAGGATGTCTCTGTGGGGACATCCTATCCCCAGGATAAGACAAGCATGCACGGGCAAGGACACACCCGACCCTGTGGAGGCTGTACAAAAGAACCACTGGAGCTATCATAAGTCTAATCAGATCACAGGCGTACCTAACTTAGATCCAGAAACAGGAAAAAAGAAACAGTGCTGGCCATTCCACGGGGCCTACAACTTCACAAATATGCTCAGAACGAGGATGAGATGGGAGGCATGGGCCTCCGTTTGCACACCTCACCCTTCTGACGGGATTTTAGTGTGTCAACAGGTGTAGTGCTCATATAATGTGGGCTCTAAGTCAAGCCAACTGCTCAAGCAAGTTGAAGGTATTTTGACTTTGCCTAATTTTTGCCTTCCACACTGACTTCAGAACCTGACCTTTGAGAAGCTGTATCCTGCCGGTATTTTACATGTTTCTGTCTTTCTGTACTTTCCAATCAGACATCTCTACGATGGGAGATAAAGGAGCATCTTGTCCCTGCATTGTATGTGATCATCTGAACTGCCCAGAAAAGCCCTTTGCCCCCCGGACTCCCTTCCACTGGCCCTGACAACCTAGAAGTACAATCCGGTTATGGTAGTGGGGCCCCTTTCAAAATGCAAAACTAGCCTGGCACGTATCTGGTAGCTGAGTCTAGTGACCAAATTAGCTAATTGCCAACAGAGAGCTGAACATGAGAACCAAAAACAGGGTAGGTTTGATGAGAGAAGTAAAAGATCTAGCACGTGGAAAACCTCATGTAGATGGGGGCTCGTTCAGCAGTGTTGCGGAAGTAGCATTTGAGGAAACTTGGCTCCTTGTGATGAGGAGGGAAAGGAGTACCTGAAGAGAAGAGCAGGGTAGAGTAGAAAGGGAGACAGTAAAAGTTTCAAGATGAACACAAAATAATTAGGACTGCTATCAGTTATTGAGGACCTGCTAAGCATTGCAAATTGCTATCTCATTTTATGCTTCCCAGTAAGAATGTCAAGTAGTTATCCCCATTTTAGAGATGATAAAACTGAGACTAAAAGACTAACCCAAGGCCACATAGCTGGAAAGTGGACAAGCCAGGATTCAAAGTCAGATCTGCCTCACTCCAAAACTCATGTTTCTTTTCCACTACGATCCCTTGAGCTAGTACTTCACACTGGCCTTGGGGGACAGGTGGGTGGGAGAGCTGGATATGGAACCCTTTAGGCCCCCCAGATGGGACTAGGCACTCCCAGAAAAAGGCCAGTCCAGGATGTGGGCCCTTTGTGTGTTGTGTCTGTGGGCTCTGCCACCGATTCATCCTCCTCCCTGAACTTCATAAAATCATTCTTGAGACTTTTTAATGTTTTATTGAGGTGCAAGTTTACGATGACAGCAAACCTTTCTAACTGCAGCAAGAGTAACCTGCCTCCTTGGCATATTAAAAAATAATGTTAGTGTTGGTTTTTACGTCCCATAGTTTGGATTGCTGATAAGAGCGCTTCCTTGACAAGATTCTTTTTGAGGTTTACAGAAAGCGTAATAAAATATGTAAGTTACATTTCCACAAACAAAAGCTATAACATAAGTTATTTATAAGCGTGAGATACAAACAGTATCACGATAAATAAACCATAAAGGGTACCTGCAACATTCATCTTAATGTAATTTGCCCAACAAAAGTGTTGAAACGAAGTCAAATTTAGTAGAGAAACCTGTCAGGAAAGGAGGAAAGTTGTAGAGCACAAAATAGGAAAAATGGCTGATGGGTGAGGGAAGGAAACAAACAAGGGCACAAGATGAGGTTTGGAGGTCCTTGAGAAGGCCATCACCTGTGCTTGCCCACCATGCCTGCCCTTGCTGCCCCCCGCCTGTCCACAATGACCAATCCCTGCCACCCTGCACACGGCCCTCTGCATCCGCCACCGGCCCCCACACCCCTGCCCTCCGGAGAAGGGAATCTCTCCTCCCCTCCCCCTCCTGCCTGCTGTTCTAACCCCCAGCCGAGTGGCCAGCTTCCTCGTGCTGCTGCCAGCCTCCCTGCCAGGCTGGGCCCTCCTCGAGGCCAGGGCCTTGGTCTGACCCAATCCAACACCCTGGAAGTCATTGTTTCATTCATTCATTCACCCACCACAGATAAATCAGTGAAGGAGACAAAGTCTCTGCCCCCTTAGAGCTAGTGAGTAGGATTAACAGATAAGATGGGTTCCAGGGGCAACGAGTGTAGC